TTTTTGCCCCCCCCCCCCCCCCCCCCCCTACGTGACCAATTCCGTCGATCCGTAAGAAGGCTGCTCTATTTTTGAGTGGGATTTTCCGAGTTGGATCTGGGAATTGAAATTTTCAATTTTTCAACTGGAATTTTTCAAACCGTAAGAAACCGCCTAAGTCGGCCAAGCGGAATCGATTGCCGAGGTGCACAAACTCCACATTGGTCGGGAATGCGGCGAAAAATATTTTGAAGGGGTTCCCGAACCAATTTTTTTTGTACGGTTTTTTAGGCGTTCTTTGGGTGGTTCTGAAAGCGATAAAAAAAACGGTTTTGAAAAATCTCTTTTTTTGCAGCTGCGCCGGGCGTATGCGCATCAGTTGCGGATGGCGCCCACAGTAGTAAAATCCCCGTTCTTTCGCTTTACCAGGGAAGAGGCCGTTCGAAGCCCGTCTTCTGTCGGGTCTCTACCAAGCGGGCCCTAACCGCTGACGCCTGGTCGTCGTCGTCCTTCCGCCTTCTCTGGCTACAACTCTCTCACCCTATTTGCTTTCTCCTTCCCGTGGCACAGCGAATCCGTCTCTCTGTCCAGTTTTGTGTGCTGTGGCGTGGACTCTCTGCGCGCTCTCCCCCTCTTGAGATTCTTGTCCAAGTATGTGTCCAAGTACGTGGTCGCCGCCAGGACCCAGCGCAACGAACCCATCTCTATATTATCAGACGTACATTCGCCAAGAATCCCATTTCTATGTGTGCTGTGGTGTCGACNTGCGAGGTCAATGGTCTAACGACTACGGCATGCACGACTATGAGTACCCCCCCCCCCCCCCCCCCCCCTCTCTCTCTCTCTCTCTCTCTCTCTCTCGTGTAGATCTTCTCCAAGTACGTGGTGGCTATGTGCCAGAACTCGGCGACGAAGACTAGCGAGATCAAGGAGCTCAGCGAGCTCAGGGAGACGCTCGGGTTGGACGGGCTCCTCATGGGAGAAGCGCTCTACCAGGTATGCATTCCATGCATAAAAATGCCACGTTTATTTTCGTATTTTTTGTCGCTTTTTTTTTTGTGGCTGTCGTCAGTCTAGGTGATAGGAACGCTTATTTTTTGGTACGATAGAAGCGTAATTATGCCGGGAGCAAAGTTAGGGGGTGTGGGGTATTTTTCTGTTATCAGTCATCTGCAACGTGTCGTGTATCCGCTGTTTTTCGAAATGGGTCTGGAGTGCACGTGCGCAGTTGGGGCGGGAAGCATGTGTCTTGCCTGGCGAAAATCTGCGTGTGCTTAGGGGATAACCCCTCCCGTTCATCTCGTAACGTATCGTACTGCTGAACCCCTGTTGTCAAGGTTTTGCACAGCTTGATTGCCCCGCATTCTGTGTGTTGCGCAGATAGCAAGGATTGGGGGTGCGTTAGTTGAGTTGGACGGGCTGTGGTTATAGGGAGAGACTCATCTGCCAGGAAGGGCCGGTGCGGGTTTCATTTCCGAAGGCGTTCTTTTGGGTTTGATTGGGTATGCAATTCCTTTCGTTGTTGTGTGGTGTGGGTAGGTGTGGGTAGGGGAAGAACCAGCAACGTTCTTCTGTTTGTGGGAATCTCGCTGATTGAGTTTTTGTTGGCCATGTCGGCCAGAGATAGTGTACACGTAATGTTGTCTTCGGATTGCTTGCACGCAATTGAAAATCGAAACCCGAACTCACAGCTTCTCCTTTTCTCCCACCAGGGCTGATGTAGGGGGGCTCCATCGTCAGAAATTTATTTATTTCGTCGTCGTATTTCCCCGCCCGCGAAAAAAAAAACATGACATGATATACCAACTGTCGCAAAAAGGCGGCGTCGCCAGCGTACACCTCCGCTGAGAGAAAAACAAATGTGTTGCGATTGTCGCCACTCACAGGCAGCATCGCCAGTGTACAGCCAGTTCGTGATGAGGACCCCCTCCGCGGAGCTGGCAGACGAGTGGTCCCCCAACCGCCGGGCCTTGGACAAGTTCATCTTCCTCTGCGACCGCATGTTCGAGGTGAGGACTTGTGATGGCACTCGAAAGCCGCTTTGTAGCGGCGTAACCTCCCCCGCCCCCCGAAGTTATTGCTGCGGTTCCCCTACTGGTACATTTACCAACCTTGCTTGATAGGTTTGCGATACCAAGGAGGCGTACTCGTTCGATATGATCGGCTTTGTAGCACCGCTCCCCCCCCCCTACCCCCTGCAATTTCCCTACTGGTAGCCATCCTCGCTTGAGAAGGTTTGCGACAGGAGACGTATTTGCACGAGTCAGCCGCTAACGTAGCGCGCCCCCCCCCCCTTCCCGAAGTTCCAACACGTCACACCCTGCCCCATGCGATTTTGCTTTATTGCGTCGCT